GCGCGAGCGGCGTCGGAAGGGAAGAGTCGCGCGCAGAGGGCCAGGTTCGAACGCGAGCATTGGATGCGTGAGGACCGCTACCAGAAGTGGGAGAACTTCGACAAGGGTGACACCCGCGCTCCTGCTGATTTGGACGAGGGCTTGCGCTGGGAGCGCCAGTGGGTAGCGAGCGCCCTGAACTCGCCCGCCCCAGTGCCATCGCCGCCCCCTGCCGCGGCTGCGCTTCCCCATTTCCGCGGCCAGCGTTCGTCAATGTCCGGCGATGCCTCCATCGTCGCGGGCGGCCGGCGGGGCGGTAACGTCGGTTTGCTCCGACGCCGACGGCGCGCGCAGGATTCCGACGTTCGCGCCGCTCGTCGCCCGCGCCCCCAACGCTGCCGCGCGCCGTCGATGCAGATTTTTTTCTGGACTTGCCAGGCCCCTGTCACATGGATCTCGCGGGCGACTCCGACGCCCCCGCCGCGGCGGGGGCCGCGGTCAAGCTCGAGGCGGCGGATGCCGCGGTCAAGCCTGGGTCGGGCGACCAGAGAGAAGTCAGACGCGAGTTGGACGGCGAACAGGGCAACGGGGGCACCGCGCCCGGCGTCTCCCTCAGCGCCACGAAGTCCAAGATCGATAACGTTGAAAACATGAGCCTGGCGCGTTCAAAACGTTGAAACATGAGCAGCGAGACGCTGCTGATCATGGACAGCGACGAGGAGGCGTTCAACCGCATGGGCGACCCGAATTTCCAGCGTCGGCAGGCTGACATTCCGGCAGCAATGCAATCGCCGCCTCGTCAGTACAAGTCGCGCGAGGAGGCGGCCTCTGCTAGGCTGCCTACATCTGCGCGCCCCAGCGGGCAGGATGGCAGAGAGGGCAGGGTTGGTGCTGGCTTCCTGAATTATGTCTCGGGTCTCCTCGGTGCGGCCGTTCGGCCCGGGGTCAAGGACGCTCTCCTCGCGCCCCTCCCCCGCTCGTTCCCTCCCGCGCTACTTTTGCTGGATCCTCTCCCCTGTTCTCTAATCTATTTTTCTCTTCGCCATTCCTATTCCTCGCCAGTCCTGCCTCTCCACCCCCCCGCAGGACTGCTGCCTCGCCGATAGATGGCCTCAGCGACATTGGGTTATACGCCCCCCACACCGCCGACGGGCCCTTTCGCATTCGGGGCGTCGAGGGGTGGATCGCCGGCGCGGGCTACGCGATCGACCGCGTCAATCATTTCGGCATGCACCGCGCCCCCCTTGGGAAGTGCATCGTGGCTGACGGCGCGGGCCCCGGCGCGGTCGGTCACGCCGCGGCCGCCATCGTCGCGCCCGGCGGTTTTGCCATCGTGGGCGGCCCGTCCAAGGTGGAGCACCATGGCCACGCGCAATGGCGCGCGCTGCCAGGGGGCGCGCGCGTCAACAAGCGCATGGTGGCACGTGCACGAATGAGACACATACCTGAGCGAGCTGCGCTTGGACGCCGCGTGGCGCGACGCGCACGGCGCCGCGCGCGGGGGGGCGCGCGCGCCCCCTGCGTCTGTTACTCTGGCAGGCGCTTGTGCAGTGCGCTGGCCGCGCGGATTTGTTTCTTGCGCTGTCCATATCGATCGCGCGCACTGCTGCAAAAGCCACAGGACCTACGTCGCCTATGATCGGGGCAAGGCGGTCGACCTGAACAAATGCACCGTCTGTTCTCTGGCGCTGAATGCTCGCCGACGCGGCGGGCGGACAATGCTGTAACAAGTATTCCAATTATCCAATGTCTTCGGTGCCAAGCCGCCAGCAGCATCGGGGACACATAGAACCAACTAGGCGCGCACGAGTTGGACAACTGGAGTTATCAGTTACAGCACGTCACGCCCGCCGCGACGGGGGGATCGAATTGGTTGGCTTGGGGAAGGGGAGGGGCGCGCCAGTTGGCTTCTTGGAGGCATCTCACCCCGCAGGCTTTGCCCCGACGTTCTTCGATCAGGTTCTGTCACCGCGGCCGCGTGGGCTCGAAGGAGCGCAGGGCAACCGACGCGCTGGCACTTGCAGCCCGCAGTCCCGCCCCCCCCCCCCCCTCTCCCCCTCCACCCCCGCGCGCCAGGCCTGCCCACCATGCCTTGCGGCGGCGCGGCAAAGCTTCCAAGGCAGACGAACGCGAGCGGGCCCATCGCGTGGATAAGGCGGTTCTGAGGAGGAGGGCCGCTCGTTGAACTCCCCCATCGAAGAGACGGCCCGCCTGCGCAACTCCCCCTTCTAGGAAGACTTCCGGCATGCGCAACATGATCGAGCTTGGCGCGCTGTCGGACCTGAAGGTCGAATGCCCCGCTTGCCAGCGCGGCGCGATGCAGTTGCAGCTTCGGGACGGCCGATCGAACAAGGACGCGCAGATGGCGGGCTTCAGCACTCCCCAGATGGATTCTCCGATCTTGCGCTGCTCCAGTCGGGAGTGCCAGAAGCGCGAGTCCAACCTCGACCCGCACGGCCCGCTGAAGGGATTGTTCAACAAGGGTTCAGCGAACACTACTCACATTCTTTTCGCCATCGCACGCGCAGCAACCCAGCGCGCCTCGGGCTACGAGTCGTCGGACGAGCTGGCGGCGCAGGTCGGGGCATCGATGGGGGGCAGTTGCGCGCGTCGCCAGGACTGCGCGGGCCACGTGCGCTCGCGTCGCCCTGGCCTAGCAAAAGAAGTTTAAGTGGCCCCGCGGGTGCCTCGTCGAGGCCGACGAGGCATCAGTGCGCGCTTCCCGCGCGACGTGCCCGTCGGACTGCTCGGATACAACGCGCGGTGATCACCCTCTTGGCCGATGCCGCATTTTGCATCACCAATTCATGTGCGCGCGTCCCCGGGGACAGCGGCACTTGGCGATATGTTTCGAGCTGCCCGAGCGTACCTGTGATACTGGAGGGAGCAGCGTGTCGCTCAGTGGGCCCGGGTTTGATGAGATCCTCTCCTGGGTTCTCGTTCCTGGCAGTTTTACCTTTCTCACCGATGGCGCAGGCGCGCATCAACCTGTGGCCCCGAAAAGTCGCGCTGCGCACAGCACAGGGAAAGGACCCGCCTCGCTCTAATGCAAATCGCTTCGGTACCTTTTGCAAGAATTTGAAGTTGTCGCGCGGCATCATGTCCCACGATGCTGACGGCTGCAGGAGGCAGGTGGAGGAAGTAAAACGGCGGCGGCTCCTCCCGCGGAAGCTGGCGGAAGGCTGGCGGAAGGCGGCGGAAGTACAAGATGCGCCCCCAGGAGATGACAACATGTTTTTGTTCAGGGTTTCAGGAAGCGGCCACATGGTTGATTCACTCGGATCGTCTTCGGCATTTCAAAATGGCGTCCCCACGGCAGCATCGGCCTCATTTTGGGGACGGATTTTTGCTCCCATCATTCTGGGTGGCGCTCTCGCCCCCGCTCGGGCCATTCTTCTGTATCCGACTGTTTCCTCATCATCGTCACCCCGCTCCTTTTCCCTTTCCGCGCCTTCCTCAGGGGCGACGGTAGGGGGGATAGCCATAGGAGGGGACGCGTCGCCTCGCAATCGCCCGCTGGTCGCCGATAGTGGTCTGATACCCCCAACCTGCCCAGGAGCGAGCGGATTCACTATTGCAGATTTATCGGTGATGTATCGCCGATTCCAGGTCGATGTTCCCCGCCCTCTGTCAATCACTGTTCCCTATTAATAAACACCCCCTCCCCCAGGCGACTGGGGGCCAACCCAGGTCCATGACGACACCCCCCACAATCCTTTTGTAAAAAACAATACAAACACACACACACACACACACACACACACACACACACACACACACACACACACACACACACACACACACACACACTCTCTGCCTCCAAACTCGGAACTTGCGCAGCCAACCCGATGCGCCCCCTCCCCCCCCCCACACCATCCCTGTCAAAAAAACATATAGAGTACACTTCACTTGGCGGAGGCGGCGGCGGCTGCGGCGGCGGCTGCGGCGGCGGCGGCGGCGGCGGTGGCGGTAGCGGCAGCGGCTGCGGCGGCTGCGGCGGCAGCGACGGCGGCGGCGGCGGCGGAGGCGGCGGTGGCGGCGGCGGATTGGCCCCCAGTAGCTACCCATCCAAAGACGATTGCTGAATATGCTGAGGCTCGGGCCAGACTCGGGTGCTACGCATGTGTTGGGAAGGCGGGTGGGAGTGAGCGAGACGGCTTGCGGGCGGGGGGGGTCTTGACCCTCCCTTACCGTTGCCCTTCACTTCCTCTGGTCATCCTGCTCCCCCCGCTCCTCCCACCCTTGCTCGAGCTGCTGATGTTCCTCCCCGTCCTCCTCTTCCTCATCCTCCTGCAGGCGAGACGATGAAATGAGAGCCGCTTTGGGCTCAGGAGGGGCTGGGGTTCTCGGGCCGTTCCATCATCTTATGCCGTGGAGCCTGCTTGTGGCCTCATGCCCGCCGTGGCCATGCAGGCCCCTCCGTGCCGTAGTCTGCGCTCCTGTTGGTAGCGCGATGACTGTACTGCTGCGGCTCCTTCCCCGTCCTCCTCCTTCCTCATCCTCCTACCTCTTCCTCCTGCTCATCCTCCTGCTCGTACGCCACCTCGTCAAGTGTACGCAGTTTTCGTGTATGCATGTTGCGCAGGACGCAGTGGGGGCTATTTGGGGTGTTCCGAGTCCGCTGTGACACTCGCCGGCTGACGTTGAACAACAGCGCAGCTACAGGGTATTCCAGATTTCGTAATAAAAAGGAGGGGGTCTGGACACTCCAAGACAAGCCACTTCAGACCTCCCCCGTGGGAGAACCCTCCAAAACATCGTCCCCAGACCCCCCAGGCCCTCCAAGATAGCCTGGAAGAGACCCCCCCCCGAAATGAGACCCCTCTCCCTTTATTACGAAGTCTGGCGTAGGATGTCAAATATGGCGCCAGCGCACCGGGCTTGCCCTCCTCGCCCCTCGCCCCTCTCCGCGGCGGTCGCGCTCCTCGATCCTTCGCCGATCGCGCCTCGCTTCTCTCCCCCGGCCCGCCCCGATCTCCCCGCTCCCGGCGTCTCGTTCCTCGATCCTCTCGCGGCAGCAGGCTGCGCCAGCAATCGGCAGCAGCGAGGGGCAGCACCCTGCTCAGGAGGAGCATCCTGGAGGCCTCGCGCGGCGCGCAAAAGTGGTATGCTCTAGTCCACTTGACAGTTCCGTAAGCTACGGGTCGACGCTCGCGCAGCGATGCACTGGAGTCAGTCCGACGTAAATCCGACGTAGTCCGACGTGAACCCGACGCAAATCCGACGTGGACCCGACGTAAATCGGGTCTCAAGTTGCCGCGCGATGCCTCCAGGACAACCCTGCAGCAGCAGGCAGCACCAGCAGCAGCAGCAGCAGCAGCAGCGAAGGGCAGCGGCACGCAGCCCGAACGGGCAGCAGCGTCTGCAGCACGCGGCAGCAGTCGGCGGCAGCAGCAGGCAGGCAGAGGGCAGCAGCACGCGCCCGGCAGAGCCGGCCACCAGCAGCGCCCTCTGCAGCCGCAGGCGGCAGCAGCACGCAGCAGAGGCTAATCAGCATCTCCAGCAGCACGCAGCAGCGGCAGCAAGCACGAGCGCGCAGTGGCATGCGCGTGATGCGGAATGCCACGCCCGCGCTATCATTTCAGCCTTGCGCACGTCGGCCATCACGTGCCAGTCCGTGCATAGTTCGTGGACGTAGTCCACGGGTCAGCCCCGGTCGCATACAACACTGGGATTGTCGCGTGTGGGAAGGCCGAGAAGTGGGAGCAGGCTCTGTCGTTACTCAGGGATGCGCGGCCTGCAAAGGTGGAATTAGATCTTGTCAGCTACAACTCTGCAATTACGACCTGTGGAAAGAGTGGGAAGTGGCGAGTAGCTCTGTCGCTGTTCAGGACACTGGCACAAAAGGGAGTAGAACCTGATTGCGTCAGCCTCACAGGTGCAATTTTAGCGTGCGGTCACTGTGGGGAGTGGCAGCAGGCGCTTTCGCTAGGCTTGGAAATGTGGCAGGCCAGGCTGGAGCCAAATATACACAGCCTGAGCGCCACAATCAGGACTCTTGTCCGTGGCTTGTCCAGGAAAAGAGATATGCTACTTCGATCGATCCCCGACTATGATTTTCAGAACATGGTAGTTTCGACTGTCCTGCATGCCTGTTCACAATGTTGTCATTCGGGTCTAGGGCATGTCTGCTCCGTATGTTTTTGGTGCGCACGGTTGTGCACGTATGCTGCGCAGGACTGCTGTGTATATGTGTTGTTGCTGTGTGTTGTTCCTGTTTGTCCTTTCTGCAAGTGTCGCATGTTCGTCATTACTGGTGTCAGGTATTTACGTATGCTCGTTATGTCGTCATTCGTCGAACACGCGTGGCGGGATCCCCAGGGATCAACGGGACACTTGCGGCGTGGCGGCCGCGGTACGCAGTCGTCGTTCGTCGAAGACGCGAGGCCAGATCCTTGGCTGTCACCAGGACGCGCACGGCCTGACGGCCGCAGGACGTACGGCGTGCGAGGCGGGTCGGGAGGTCTTTGTCCCCAACGAGTGCCTGCACTTCGGTGACTGAGCTCCAGTGTCGCCTGGGCCAGCTCGCCGCCGCCCGTCGCCGCTGGTAACTGAACCTTGTCGTCGCTCGTCGCCGCCGGTCGGATTGATCTGCATTGATTTGCTTTATTTTTGTATTGTTTTGCATTGTTGTGCATTGATTTGCATTTCTTTGCATTGCTTCGCATCGCGCTGTATTGATTTGCATCGCTTGGAACCGCATAGATTGGCACACCATGGGTTGCACCACCTAGATTGCACCACATTGATTGCACCACCTAGATCGCGCCGCACGACCCAGCCGCAAGGCATCACCGCTCGGGGCCCGCACTGGCTATCATCTGCCAACCTAGCAATCCCAGCTCGTCGAGTCGGGAAGACGCTGGGCCCAGCTGTTCGCTCCCTGTTTGTTCCCCCTGGGGCCCTCTGGGCCTGTGACGGGTGCTCCGGAGGCCTCTCCGGAAGTCTTGGGGGCACGTTGGGCCAGGGACATTGCTTCAGCTTCGGGCTCGTGGGTCCTTTGCAAGAGAGAGGGGGTCTGACACATGTTCGCAACAGTTCGTACAATCGTTCGTGAGGGATACGCACGTCGTGCAATGTCACCACGTGGCTGCCCTGCGCCATGCGCCAGATGATGAGCTTCTGCACTTGTTTGTTTGCGACCCCATTGCGAAAGATCCCCTTTGCCCGAAACCAACTTCTGGCAACGGCCGTTACAGTGAAGACGCTGAAGTAAGGACCGCTTTGGGTTCGGAAGAGGGCTGGCTGCTCTGCTGTGTCCTCGTGCAACCAGGCGCGTAGTGGGCCTTGGAATCGGGCCCCAGCGCCGCCCCCCCTCGTGCACCACCCAGGCGCTGTGGGCGCCAAAAACGGGTTTCGCTCTTAATTTAGCGTTCCTTTTTTCAGAAGCCCTCTGCAACTGGGGGAAAAAAGAAGTGTCTCGGCATAAGGAGCTGGACCTAAATGCTGTTTTGCTGGACTTCGGCTGTGTTTTGTTTTTCGTTGTAGCAGGGAGGTACAGGAAACCAGGCAGAGCAAAACGAAAACAACACGAAAAACAATGTTTTGGTCCAGCCCTGCTTGGCACGCGAGGGCCTCTCTTAGGCCCTGCAGCGCCGTCCGCGTCGGGGATATTTTCCGGGGCTTTCGCAGTTTGTGGCTGGACAGGGAGTGCCTGGTGGAGCGCCCGCCAGTGGGGGCGCCGATGGGCACGGGGGGCCTTCCTCTTGTGTGACCGTTGCAAGCCCAGAGTTTCTCCGAAAGCAAAGCACGCGCACACACACAAACACACACAACACAATACACAACACACAACACACACACACACACAACACACACACAACACACACAACACACATACACACAACACACACACACTCACATACACACCACATCACACACCACACACACATACACACAAAACACACACATTGTCCAAACACAAAGCACAAGTTGTTGCTTCCAAGGAAAGTCTGCAACCATGTGTGGCCTTCCTATTGGGTGGTCGTTCGAGGGAGCTTCGTGTGGCCTTCCTGTTGTGTGGTCGTTCGAGGGAGCTTCAGAGGGTCCCAGGATTCCTGACGGTTTGTTTGGGGGTTCGTCCAGAGCTCGCTGGAATGGGACGAAAGTTGAAGGAGGCTTGGACGGAAGGGCGAGAAGGACGAAGGCTCGAAACGGGGTCGTCGAAGTTTTGTCGGAGTCTTGTCGACGACATGTGTATGACAGGGCCGCGGAGGCACACGTTGGCCCCCGTGAAGGCCCAATCAGTTCCTGTCTCGAGACCCGGTCGAATCACTGCCGCCTTTCCTTCGGTGGGAAGTCATGAGGGCCGTGTCTATTTTCGTACTTCCGACTTTAGGGTGCATTAGCCTCGATAGCGTTTGGTAATCGACGAGATAGCGCCGATGTAGATTCGATTGGCGTCAGTTGAGCGTTAAGTTAACGCCCATTGAAGTCGACCACCGTTGATTCGCAAGAGCCAATGGGGTGGTATGGGAGGCTCCCATGAGTTTCCGCCCTTCCGTTGCATGTTCGGGTGACCTCGTCCGTCCTCCACATTGGTGTCTTTTGTTGTGCCCGACGCGGCCTCGACGCGGAGTTGTCCTGGATTCGACACTGATACGACACGGATTCGACGCGGATAAGGGTGCGGCGGGAGACGCGAGGTCCCCCGAAGACGCAACATGACCACATGCCCCGCTCGAGCGAGGAGCAGGCCCACTAGTGCGGCCTTCGCCCTCCTCCTGCGCCCCCCCCCTACAGTGGGAGCCCATGCCAAGAGACACCCTGCTCGCCTCCAGGATGCCCTGGGTTTCTTGGGTTTCGATGGGTTTGCTGTGGGCAGCGTGACGCCCCCACACCGAAAATCCATGGACGCCCTGGGGTCTTTGTGTTGGGTCTCTCGTGGTCGGGCCCCCACTGCACTCCTCCCCCACAGGGGGGGGGTGATCGACAACCGGGCAGCCCGTGGGCGGGAGGCATACCCATGCCCACGGCCTCGCGGGTGCTGGGCCTCGCGGGCCGCGACCTCACGGATGATTCCGGGGCGGCCTATTGCGCGTCTGCCCCGCGCGGAGCGCCTCCACGCGATCGCGCGTCCATGGGATGGCGCCCCCGATCCCAGAGCGCGAGGGCATGGCAGCGGAGCTGCTCGCCGTTCGTGGGCAGGCGCCAGAGGCCAGCAGCGCAACTATGAGCCTATGTACGCGTGCGCGGCTAGCTTCCGCTGGAGTGCAGTGGAGCGCGGAGGTTCGTGCACGCAAGACCGCGGAGGGCGCACGTGTACATGTGCCGCTGCTCGCTCAAAGTGAACCTCCTCGGAGCACGTTCGTTGTTCGTGGGCATGTTCGTTCGCGCGTCGCCTGGAGGGTTCTTTGGGGGCGCCAGCGCCGTCTGCGACCTGCCCGCGCCGGCGGCTGGAAGGGCCTGCCCCCTCGCGAGCCGAGCGCACCCCACGGATCTTGTAAGGCCACCGCCCGACTATGGGGCAAGCTCCTTTTTCCGTTCCGGGTCCTGGCTCACGGAGGCCACACCATCTCATCGAGGACGAGAGAGCCCCGAACCTTGATACCACGAACCCTAATACCACAGTGGAGACGTCGCCTCACTTAGGTCCCCGCCGAGGCATTGGGGATAATAACTCTGGGCGGTTTGGTCTGGTACGTCTGCACAAAAGACCCCCTATTCCTGATGTTTCTGGCCCTCCCAACTTAAGTCCCCTCCCAAAGGGTCAGGGGCATTTTCTGTCTATCAACGGAGGCTCATCTTCGCAGGCGATGTTCTCTCCCCCGATCCTCGCTTTCCGCGCGAAGAGTCTGGCATCTCCGAAAAAACAGAGGGAAGCCCTGGGATGCATCCCGAGGGGGGGGCTCTTCGGACGCACCCCTGCAGAGGACGGACACCCCTTCGTCGTATCTCCCAGGGTTGGGCCCCAAATGTCTGGTCCATCCCAAAACCTCGCACAGCCTGGGCTCGGGGTCGACAGATCCCCTGTGAAAAAGGGCAAAAGATCGGGGGCGGCCCAGAGGTGCGACACGACGGAGGGGGATGGGGATCTCATGGCCGGGGCCAGGGTAGCTCCCCGGATGCCATGACCCCTGTCTCCCATCTCAGTGCGCCATTTGGCCCCCCTATAGGGTCGCGTACACTGCCTCGGGCCAGGGCTTGCGAGCCTCCCCCCGAGCCCCCCTTCGGTTGACGTGCTGCTTCGTGTGGCCGCTGCACCCCAGAATGTCATGCTGGAGTGCAAGCACTGAGCGTTTCGACTGCAAGTCAGAGTGACCCTTCGCCACAATGACCTCTGGTGCGGGCTCACACGGGTCCCCCCAGCACCGGCCAACCCGCTTGGAGTTGTCCACATCGCGGCCCCCGAAAGCCGCGCACCAGAGGTCTCTCTTGCCCAGGGCCACTCTTGCGTGTAGCCGAGCATTTGGCGCCCCGGCGCCCCCGCCGAACCCTCAAATGACCGTCCTAAGGGACCTTATCTTATGAGGGAACTCCTGGAGGCCTCGCGAGGTGCGCAGTAGTTCTATTTATCTAGTCCACACGTCAGCTCCGTAAGCTATGGGTCGACGTTCGCGCGTCGATGCTCCGGCACCAGGCCGACGTACATCGGGCGCACTTCCGAGGCAATCCGACGTGAACCCGACGTAAATCCGA